CGTCGTGCTCAGAGTGACTGTTACCTGTGTGTGCAGCACGCCAGACCCAGGTATAGAGGTTCCTGCTCTCGGTACTAGTGAGGCTGCCGCTCTCGGTGCTAGTGAGTCTGTTCTCGCAGGTGCTAGTGAGTCTGCTCTCTCAGGAGCCAGTGAGTCTGCTCTCTCTGGTACTGCGCCTACTGCGGCCCTGCACACGTTCACCCTTGACTCTGGGGCTTCCCGCTGTTTCTTTCGCGACAGTACCACAGTCACTCCCCTCCCTGCACCTGTCCCTGTCTCACTAGCTGGCCCCTCTGGGGGCCCAGTGCTTGCACGAGCCACGACTGTGCTTCCGTGCCCGGCGGTCCCGTCTGGTGAGCTGTCAGGTCTCCACATCCCCTCGTTCTCTACGAACCTGGTGAGCAACGCCGTCCTTCAGGATCACTGGGTTGACACCTGGACTCCTGGAGGACAGCGTGTGGCGATCCTCACGTGCTCCAAGACTGGCCGCCACCTGGCCACGTTCACTCGTGAGCCTGGGTCCAGTCTGTACACCCTCACCACTGTTTCACGCTACACCCCTTTGTCTCCACAGTTGTACGCGTCTGCTCAGGTAGCTACCCAGTGTGAGTGTCGCCGCCTGTCGCACGACACTCTCCTGTGGCACCATCGCCTTGGTCACCCCTCCCTGCCTCGCCTTCGTGGCATGCACTCTCGCTTCCTGGTCTCTGGTCTTCCCAGGTCTCTGCCTGCCCTTCCTCCCTCGCCTGCGCCGCCCTGCATTCCTTGCGTCGAGGGGCGGCAGCGCGCCGCTCCTCACTCCTCCTCGTTCCCTCCCACAGAGGCTCCACTGCAGACTCTCCACCTGGACGTGTGGGGCCCCGCCCGCGTCCAGGGGCAGGGCCGCGAGCGGTACTTCCTGCTGGTCGTCGACGACTACACACGCTACACCACGGTCTTCCCCTTGCAGCGCAAGGGTCAGGTCCCTGATGTTCTGATCCCCTGGATCCATGTTGTTTGTCCCCAGCTCCGCGAGCGGTTCCATTCGGACTTTCTTGTCCTGCGTCTGCACTCTGACAGAGGTGGTGAGTTCACCTCCGACCTCTTGCGAGCCTTCTGTGAGGAGCACGGCATCCGCCAGACGTTCACGCTTCCGGCCTCTCCGCAGCAGAATGGGGTTGCTGAGCGCCGCATTGGCCTGGTCATGGAGGTCGCTTGTACCTCCATGATCCATGCGGCTGCCCCCCATTTTCTGTGGCCGTTTGCGGTCCGCTACGCCGCGCATCAGCTCAACCTCTGGCCCCGTGTCTCCTTCCCGGAGACCTCGCCCACGCTGCATTGGACGGGGGAGGTTGGCGATGCGTCGCGTTTCCGGGTCTGGGGTGCTCGTGCCTTTGTCCGCGACCTCATCGCGGACAAGCTCTCTTTTCGCGCCATTCCCTGTGTCTTCCTTGGCTTTCCTCCTGACGCGCCTGGCTGGCAGTTTTACGACCCCGCCTCGCGCCGTGTCTTTGCGTCTCAGGACGTCACCTTCGACGAGTCGGTCCCCTTTTACCGTCTCTTTCCCTACCGCACTTGCCCTCTCCCCCCCCCCCGCCGCTCTTTCTCGCTCCAGGTCCTCCCCAGGTAGACCCCCTCCCCCCTCCAGGTCCTGCTCCTTCAGGTGTGTCTCAGGTAGACCCTCCCTTGACTGAGCCTGTTGAGGTCACTGGTGACTCAGGTCCTACTAGGGGTGGTCCTGCTGGGGGTGCTGAGCCTGAGCGTGTGGAGCCTGGGGGTGCTGAGCCTGAGGGTGCGGAGCCTGGGGGTGCTGAGCCTGGGGGTGCGGAGCCTGGGGGTGCAGAGCCTGAGCGTGAGGAGCCTGGGAGTGCTGAGCCTGGGGGTGCTGAGCCTGAGCGTGAGGAGACTGGAGGTACTACGTCTGGGGGTGCTGAGCCTACGCGTGAGGAGTCTGGGGGTGCTGAGTCTGGGGGTGCGGCGCCTGAGGGTACTGAGACTGCTGGTGCGCGGTCTCCTTGGAGTGGCCGCCTTTGTCCGCTTGTGCCTCTCAGCTCACAGCAGCTACACGACTGGTACGGTCGCCGTCAGGGTCGCGCTGCTGGAGCTCGGGGCTCTGCCGCTGGAGGTGCGTCTGCTGACGTCGCTGGAGCTGGGAGTGGTACTGGTACTTTGTCTACTGGAGGTGCTGGAGTCGCTGGTCCCGGAGGTGCTCGTACTGGAGGTACTGGAGCTGCTGGGACTGGAGGTGCTGTGTCTGGGGGTGCTGCTGCTGGAGACACTGAGGCTGGAGACCCTGGGACTGGAGGTGCCGGTTCTGGGGGTGCTGCGGCTGGAGACACTGAGGCTGGAGACCCTGGGACTGGAGGTGCCGGTTCTGGGGGTGCTGCTGCTGGTGGAGCTGGTCCTGGAGGTGCTGGCGCTGGAGGTTCTGGAGCTGGTGGGGGTGCTGGAGCTGCTGGAGGTACTGGAGCTACTGGTGCTGGTGGCACTGCACAGCCGCGACTGTTCTTCGCTCCGCCGTCTCTGTCGTCTCAGCCACCGCCTGATTCTGTGCTTCGCCAGGTTCTTATCCTCCCGTCTTCTACTGGTCTTCCGTTACAGCCTGGCTCACCGCTGCCTGCTCCTTCTCCTTACACTGAGCAGACCGGAGGTCTTGCTGAGCGTTGTGAGCCTGCGTTGCGTCCTGTCTCGCCTGTTCGTTCTGGTCGTACCGGTCGTCGTGTTCCTCGTCCGCGTCAGCCGGCTGTCCCCGATGCGCACCTCGTAGCCCTGCGTCCTTCCTCTGCTCCGCAGCGTGTTCCTCTGCCGTCCCCCCCTGCGTCCTCTCTGCCTGACCTTGCGGACCCTGAGTCTGACCAGTTTCGTGCTGCCCACCCTACTGTCACGCGTCTATTAGCCACTGTTGTCACTGACCCGTCGTTTGAGTCTGCTGCTGCGTTTGCCTTGGTCGCTGAGCTTGTTGACTTTGCTGCTGCCTGTCGTCTAGACTACGCCGCTAGTCTTGTTGCTGAGTCTGAGTTTGTCTGTCCTCCGTCCGTCGGAGGTGAGTGTGCTCTTGGCACGGACGTCCTTGAGGACAGACATGAGGACCTTGAGTGTCTTGCGGCCGCTGCGCCTCATCTCGTGGCCATGCTGCTTGCCCCTGAGGGAGACCCGGATGCACCAGACATCCCTACCCCGCGCTCTTACGCTGAGGCGATCGCGGGTCCCTACTCCTCCCAGTGGCAGACAGCCATGGACGCAGAGATGGCATCCTGGAAGTCCACAGGCACCTTCTTCGATGAGGTTCCCCCTCCTGGGGCGAACATCGTCGATGGCATGTGGATTTTCAGGGTGAAGCGGCCGCCGGGTTCTCCGCCTGTCTTCAAGGCTCGTTACGTTGCTCGAAGCTTCAGTCAGCGAGAGGGAGTCAACTTCTTCCAGACCTTCTCCCCCACCCCGAAGATGACCACTCTTCGGGTACTGCTGCACGTTGCCGCTTAGCGTGACTACGAGCTTCACTCTCTGGACTTCAGCACAGCCTTCCTACAGGGCAGCCTGCACGAGGAGATCTGGCTGCGCCGCCCACCTGGCTTCACTGGGTCGTTCCTCCTGGTACCCAGTGGAGCCTCCGGCGGCCAATCTACTGTCTCTGCCAGGCGCCTCATGAGTGGCACGACACACTGAGGACTACACTTGCGGCTCTTGGGTTTGCGCCTTCGACAGCTGACCCGTCGCTGTTTCTACGCACCGACACTTCACTGCCGCCGTTCTACATCCTCGTGTACGTCAACGACTTGGTCTTTGCCACTGCTGACACTGAGGCTCTCGCCCTAGTGAAGTCGGAGCTGCAGAAGAGACACACGTGCACTGACCTGGGTGAGCTGTGCAGTTACCTTGGCTTGCAGATCACCCGGGACCGAGCACGCCGCACCATCACACTGACTCAGTCACACATGGTGCAGCAGGTCCTTCAGCGCTTCGGCTTCACCTGGTCCTCGCCACAGTCCACTCCTCTGGCTACAGGTCACTCACTCTCAGCTCCACCTTCGGACGAGTCCGTAGAGCCGAGTGGTCCTTACCCAGAGCTAGTGGGCTGCCTCATGTACCTGATGACCTGCACTCGTCCTGACCTTGCGTACCCTCTTGGCCTTCTGGCACGCTACGTGGCTCCTGGTCGACACCGAAAGGTGCACTGGGATGCTGCGAAGAGGGTACTGCGCTACTTGTGCAGTACATCGGGCATGGGGCTCGTGCTTGGAGGGCGGAGTGAGGTGGTCCTCACTGGGCACTCAGACGCTTCTTGGATTGACGACCAGGCTACACAGCGGTCGTCACAGGGTTACACCTTCAGCCTTGGCTCCGGTTCTGTTTCTTGGCGTTCTACTCGCTCGTCTTCTGTTCTTAGCTCCAGTTGTGAGGCTGAGATCTACGCCACTGCCATGGCTGCTCAGGAGTTATGCTGGCTCACTTACCTGCTGACCGACCTGGGAGAGCGGCCTCGTTCTCCTCCAGTTCTATACGTCGACAACAAGGCCGCCATTGCCTTGTGTGAGGAGCACAGACTGGAGCACAGAACGAAGCACATCGCTCTGCGTTACTTCCTGGCTCGAGAGTTGCAGCAGCATGGTCAGCTTCGTCTTGCACACGTGGCCACTCGGGCCAACACTGCTGATATATTCACCAAGGCACTTCCGTCTGGTGACCATCAGCGCTTTTGTACTTTGTTGGGCCTTGTGCCTACGTTTCCACACTTGCTGTAGACTCTGCTTGTACTGTGATCCATATATATATACCTGCATGCTTGCTCTTGCTAGGTAGTGATCACTGTACTATTGTTGTTGCATATATACCTCTGCATGTGAACTGGCCTTGTGGCCCTTTGCTTGTGCTCAGTGTGTGTGGTGACTTTGTGATCCACCCTGAGCTTGCTTTGCTTCTCTTGACTGGTCTTGTGACCCCTTGTTCTCCCCCACTTTGCCTATGGGGGTGTGTCAAATTATACATGCTATATTTGTGTAGGCTGTAGTGGGTTAGCCAATATGGGGTACAACCCCTCTAGGGTTTGATACTTGTACCCAACTCTCTTTCAATGCAACTCATTCCTGCCTGTAGTTTCTAACAAAAACTACGGGATCAAGAAGGTCAATCATGCCTTCCTAATCCCGTCAGTTAGGATTCGTTAAGGTCCATCAGCATGGTCAGCCCGTAAAAATCCTGCCGAACCTAAGATGTCGTCTGGCCCAAATGGAATCTCGAGGGCCTGGCGAACACCCACAAATTTTCCCCCATTTCGGACGGTTTCATGGCATTTGGAAATGGGAAAGCAATTTCGTCCCTCGGCAACCATTCCGCTTCATGCCATCGCGTCGCGATTCCCAATGACGTCGAATCTTTTTCAAATTGGCCCTGTTCACTACGCCCCTCTCTTTTCGATGGCCCCAAAATGGAAATGGAAAAAAGTTGGTTCCAACGAACCACCTGACCAGGTTTGGCTGGTCACCTAGAACCGTAACTTCCGAGGAAGGGGGTAACGGACTCGCGAACCACACAGCCTCGTTTCCTGCTGCTACCAAAAGACCCGCTATCCCCTCAAAATTCCATTGCATTTCCACGTAGAGGGTGGAATGTCGGAAACTTCTGCGTCACCTGCTCTTGTCTCTTCACTCTTGCTTCCCTCTTTCTCTCATCTTCGCTTTCTTCTTGTTCCTGCTCCCCTGTTCCCTCCTTTGTACTCAGCCACTACCAGGAGAGATCCGGCTCCCACAAGTCGGTTGCCCACAGTGGCGCAGTCACCTAGCTTAGGTAGCTTTAGAACGGTAACACTATACCACTATATGAGACAAACAAACGAGAGAACGAACTACGGCATGAGTTCCTAGGCTATTATAATCCCCAAACCTGTGTCGGCCAATTTCCTGCAAGTAACATTGGGCTCAGGTCGCGGAACCTCATGATTGGTCATCCTGATTGCCATCGGCCTGATGTCTCTTGAACTTGTCCTTGCGCGCGCCTCGCTGGTCCCTGGGTTAACAACTTCGCGACACAACCCACGCACCCAATCCCACTTCTACAGTACATCTAATAACCCAACTACACCCTTATAAGCATGGAACAAAATGTAGCATGGAACCGAATGTATTGCTTACACCAATGCATTCTGTGACACAAATGCAGATGGAATCGAAATGGAAATAGGTTTGGCTGGGGTGGGAACATGCGCCCTAGCTTCATTTTTCCGTCTTGGCCCATATCAATGCTGTAAAATGTGTGTGTTCTCTAAGCCCTTGTTTCTGTTAGGTTCAGACGGGTTGGCATAGGCTCGGCGAGCTTTTTGGGTGCTGACCGGGCTAAAACCCTAACAGATGGAGAAAGGAAAGTGATACTCACATTCCTTTTTCGATCTCGAAGGTTGTAGCGAACATGGCCATTGTCCTGTGCTGGCGAACACCGCCTTACGGCGGCAAAATAAACAGGCTCCAAGAAATTTACTCGTCGTGTAAGGAATTGTAATTCCTTACTGTACTCGCACTTTAGCGAGTATATCCAGAGGGTCACGCGACGAACCTGTTCGGCCTATTTCGTCGCACCGAACCACTCCCGAGTCGCCTCCGCACCAATCGCAACCATCACCAAGACATCTTCATCTGACCTCCCCGCATAACTAGCTTTTCCCCTATTTAGGCCTCGTCACTTTCAACGTACCGTCATTCGGTAATCCATCATTCTCGTTATTCATTATGCTGCGCACCCTGCCAGTTCATTCATAACACCTCGTATGAGAGCTACTTTCCTAGCCTACCCCGCTTTTTAGAGTGTATTACCCCTCGGGGGGGGGGGGGGGGGGGGGGGGGGGGGGAGGGACGAGGAAGGATGTCTTGGGATCCAGGAGTTGTGTAGGCCGGCCAAGAGAACGGGTTAGTTGCTCTTCGCGGCCATGGATTTATCGTGCACTCCTCGGCACCGCCGGATCCTTGCCTTCGACGGTCGCGATCGACCGTAACTTCCCTCCCTTCGGGCAACGGACAGCTGTAGCTGTCGCGACATTGAACGTGAGTTACTATTCCGCTGCATTTTTACCGACGATTTCGGAAATTTGTGAGGCAGCTGGCGTAAGCGGACCTGCGTCGGCACCTACACTAAATTCGCGGAGTCGTGAACATGTGTAGCCGTTGACGCCGTCGGACCTGGGTCAACAGCTGGGCGACAATTTCGGAGTCCGTCCCATGCAGCAAGTGAAAACAGTGGCTCGTCGTCATTTTGCGCGCGTGACTCGCGGAATGTGGATCGGCAGCTGGTGACAACAGACATGCGTCACTGTGGGCGACAATTTCGGAGCAATTGTTGAAGAAAAGGCAGCTGGGGGAACTTGCCAGGTGCAAATGGAGTTTTGCGTCCAGAAATGTCGGTGGAGCGGAGAGAATACACGCGAACTACCTGATTTATGCAGGGTCAACTGCCGTCCAGCCCGACCTGAAGTGCAGCGGCTTTACCTGCATGGCGGGCGCGTCATTGAATATTTCGATAGGAGTGCACATGGCCAGACGGAACTTTCAGACCTGCCGACACTTACGGGCTGCAATGAAAAACGGAGTGGCCATATCGCACTTAGCATAAGTGGGACATAGGCGACAAGGGAAACCGAGGCAGGTACACTTCGGAAACAACTCGTGCAACACTGCGTGCCTGGTGTTGTTGCAAGCTGGCCGGCAGTATCAAGGGCGGTTTCTCTTCACTAGGGAATTCGTTTTCGGGGACAGTTGCTAACATCCCACGATTAAACGGCGTTCAAGGTACCGCCCCGACAATTACGGAGGAGTGTGGTACAAGCCGCCGGGACATACGGGAAGAAACGGGCCAGCGGCTAAGCGGGGCTGAAAAACGTCGCGGAGAGCAGATTAAAAGGCATTGGAATCGATCTGCGGCCCTACTTCGCCAAAACCTCACCATCCTCACCAAGTCATGGTTCTGACTCATGCAGTCAACCTATTTGACCGAATAGAAGGGGAGAACACGCGCCTACCCTATGCTGGTTAAAGGCACCTGGATTGGTGCTCGTTCGACAGCTGTACTGAAATAATAATAATAATAATAATAATAATAATAATAATAATAATAATAATAATAATAATAATAATAATAATAATAATAATAATAATAATAATAATAATAATAATAATAATAATAATAATAATAATAATAATAATAAATGGAGCTCGCGGCATTGTTGTACTCCGACGAAAACGAGCTGGGTGAACGACACGCAAAAAAATCGGGGAGCTGCGAAAAAAAAAATTGTGCAGTCTACGGATTTCTCATGATTCGGGCGTCTACACGACTTGACGGCGCAGCGGCGAAGCTGAGACCGGGAAGCTATGGAGTTTTTTTGGCGTGATAGGCACAGCGGGCTGCAAAACGGTCGGGCGATAGTTCCTTTTAACTAAGGCCATCCCGACTCCGATAGTTTTTGCCCCGCCGACGTGGCCGGGTTCACGCAGGCAACACCGACGATACCCCATCCGACAAAAGCGGACGCTGGGTGAACGGCGGGAAGCGAAATGGATGAAGACAAAAATATGGAGGGAAGGTCGTGGGTGATCCAGCAGATCACTTGAGTGAGAGGTTGAGCCCGTACACCACTCCACCGTGAATTTTGGGGTCTACTAGGTGGACGCTCGAAGGGTCGGAAATTTCACACATGGAAGCATGGCGAGAGGTGCACTGCCAAGGATTTCTGGGATCTGCTAAGTAATTTTGACAGGTATGAAGACGGGTGAACGTCGGAGTACCAGGGTTAACGGCGGAAACGTCGGAATGGCGGAATATAACTTCGGGACTGCTGCCTCAACTATGATTTTCGGGTAGTATTCCTACGGTGGAAAAAAGAAGGGTAATTCAACCTTATACTTCATCCGACAAACGTGGACGCTGGGTGAACGGTGGTGCGCGATATTGTCAGGGAGTGGGTGAAGGCGTGGTGCTTTTGAACTGTACTTACCGGCTTTTTTCGTTATTCTGCGCAACCCTGACAAACACTTTAACAGTATTCATACATGCTTTTTGAGTAGTTCAGTTTCTGAATCGTATCGAAGGGGGAAAACGAGTACTGAAGGAATCATCAAGTGCTTATTGGCGACTGTGCTGTATAACCAAGTCACATCGTCGGAGAACCATACCAGTCAACATGGGGAGACTTGCAATTCTCGCGAAACAGGGACACAAGACGAGACATTGGCGGAGCTCGTGTTCCAGTCAAGCACTTTTCGCGAACTTAGACTTGCAATAATGCAATTCGCCAGAAGTTTTGGGCTGCGATTGGCGCCCAAGAGGTACCGCGTTCCAATATCGCGTTCGGGCAAATCAATTTACTTTGTTTCTTCAGTCACATTCGGAAGGAATTGGCTTCACCCATACTGCCTCACTCACGCTGCCTCCCACTCCTATTCTCGTTCCTCCCTTACATATCTATCCCCTTCCCTGGATTCACCATATCTTGCCATTACACACGAATTCATCTCCTTGCCGCTCTCTCACACTCAAAGCACCTTCGTCGCTTCGCGCCTTTTCGTTTTCAAACTACTAGTAGTAACGCGCGCCATTCCACACGAATTCCTCTCCTTCTCGCGCCTTTCATTCATTATCCTGAAATCCGGCGCCGCCGCTACCGCAGTCCACCGTCGGGCTAGCCTACTGCGGAATTCATCATGAGGTCACATCGGTGCAGCGCGCCGCAGCCTCAGCTCCCCTCGCCAACCCTGCGTCTCTCGTCGCCATGGCGCCGCTCCGCGCGTCTCGTCCCGCGCTTCAAGCCGGCCTCGCCGCAATCCTCGCGGCTGCTGGCCTCATTGCCGCCGTCTTTCTCCTCCCTTCCGCAGAAGCCAGCGCCTCTGTCGTCTTCGACTCCGTGGTGGCATTTAAAGGCCCAATGAGAACAACGGACAACGCCAGCCTGGTTTTCTACAATGCTGTGTGCGACGACGTGGATCGCAGCGTGTTCGCAAATAAGAGCCAAGTCAGCGCGGAGATCGCGTGGGACGGCTTCGAGCGCGCGGATCGCAAGTGCAGCAGCATCTCCTTCCACTCCGCGCCGGGTTGCGCAGGACGCCCCTACATGACGTACCTGCGCCCTCCGTGGAATATCACTCACGTTCCCACCACGTGGTGAGCCTGCAACTTCTGCTCAACGGTCCTTTCTTCGTTTTTTTACGCTGTTAGACAATCATTTAATCTATTTGGCTCGGATTTATCAGTCTGAATGAGTCGTTTTTGTCTCTTGGGGACTCTAAGGCGGCCCTCTGCTGGTCTCAAACTCTCATCGCTTGCTGCTCCCTGTGTTTCCCTGCCGTCGTCATGGCTTCTCTGCTTTCAGGATGCTCTCTTCCGCCGACTTGCCAGCGTCAGCGAGATGCGAGGAGGGTGAGTTGCGCGATTGAAAGCCTGGCCCCGCAGTGACTTGCAAGGTGTGACAAGCTTGCCTTGCATGGGTAAGGGCAATTTCCGTGCGAATGCCCGCCGCCTGTACTGCTCGGCACCACGCATGTCTACTCAGAGCTTGCCGCATGGTGCGGTGCCGTGCGGTGCGATATGGTGCGGTATGGTGCGGTGTACGGTGGTGTGCAATGTCCAGCTAGAAGGTCAACTTTGAGATTCAGCGGCATCACACCCGGCCTGTGTCACGCGCCGTCACATGCACCAACCGCCGCATGACTCTTCTGCTGTTCGCCTCCAAAGCATTTGGCTTCTCGTTTGCACGCACACTATTCGCCCATGTCCAATCGTCTCTGACGGATCTGAACGGATTGGATTGAACCATGAATGTACAGCGCTGTCTCATTCTTCTCCTCCCTCCTTCCCACTATCATTGTTGCCCCTCTCCCCTCCACCATGTGCCTCCACGAACGCCCTATGCTTGTCTCCTAGAAGCCTCGTTGCCGACGGCGGGTCCGCTGCTATGTGCACCGTGCAGAACCGCAAGGACGAGTGCGTGTGCCCTTCTGAGTCGACTCAAACTGATTCCACTCCCTGCCTCTGCTCCCCATGCTCGTCCCAACACTGTTGGCAGGCTGCGCTGCCGACTGCGGGTCCACTGCAAGGTGCATCGTGCGGAACAGCAAGGACGAATCCGTGTGCCCTGGGTCTCTCGTATTCGACGTCAATTTGTGAGGAAACGTCTCAATACTCCTTCTCACGTGTCCCTCTGCCCTGCCTCTACGAACGCCCCATGCTCGTCCTAACAGGCTGCGCTGTCGACTGCGGGTCCACTGCTAGGTGCATCGTGAGGAACAACACGAACCAGTGTGTGTGCCCTGGGTCTCTGGTCTTCGACGTCAAGGCGAGGCGCTGCCTTGATGGGCCGGCCTCGATTAGCGAGGGTGAGTGCATTGTGAGGTGTTGGTGGGCGACTATCAGGAACCACAAGGACGTGTGTGCTTGTGCCCGGGGTCCCTGGTCTTCGACGTCAAGGCGAGGCGCTGCCTTGATGGGCCGGCCTCGATCAGCGACGGTGAGTGCTTTGTGTGGGAGGAATCTAAGAGCGGGATTGTGGAATGGAGCCTCGTGGAGTGTAGACGCGCTCCCTCTTTCTTCTCTCCCGCTTCCATCTCATGCTCGTCTCACCTCTCACTCTTGCTTCTCTCCCTCACGCTCTCACCTCAACCCCTCTTGCTTCTCCCCACAGAACCCCTGCCAGCCCGGGACCCCTGTGCGGCCATGATGTGTCCGGTTAATGCATTTTGCGCGGTAAGGAACGGTACAGGGAGCTGCAAATGTAGCCCTGGTTACATCAAGAAGAACGGTCTCTGCAATGGTAAGGGAGTGGGCCGGCAATGCTCAGCTACAAGTGTAGTTCACTTACGTTGCTTGTGTGCCAATTCATATGTTCTTGAAATCTTCAGGCACCTCAACACTCTGCATTTTCCTCTCTCCTCCCTCTCCTGTATTCCCTTGGCAGCTGTGTGCAAGCCCACCTGCCCCCGCAACGCCGAGTGTGCAGTGGTGGCCGACACGCCTATGTGTCGTTGCAAGACCGGCTATGTGATGAGGAACAACAATTGCATCGGATTGCCCCAGATTGGGTTGCCTCAGGAGCGCACAATCAGTCAAACTCACCGCATGAGGGGCTCGTCCATTCAGCCAGAATGGTGAGTTGTGTGTCAATTTTCCCAACCGCTTGCAGAAATCTGTAGGTAACCGCACGCCACATTTTGGTCATCCTGGTTCCTTGCTCTTTCCCCATCTGTCTTCAGCAAAAATGCTAGGACCACCTGCCCATTGTAGTTTCGCCCTATTCCACTACCCTTTCCCTTTTGGTGCAGAGACAGGACACACCAGCTAAGGGCAGGGATAAGGTTAGGCCGGGTAGCAACACCTCCACTTTGAAGTCCAGCATGCTCATCATCAAGCCTTTGTTGGGTGCTTCTTCTTTCTCAATAACACGAATGCTGTTAGATGGGTGCACGGTACTGATTTTCTGAATAAAATGGGCGTCTCTTTGTAGGTCGTATCTCAGGCTCATCATGGCTGTATGTTAGTGAAGACAATCTAGCCATTTGAGTTGTTGTTTCTGGGCTTGTGCTTGCAATGTATATTGTTCTTCCTGTTCAATAAAATGGGTCCTAAAAGTAAATCCGTACCATAGGCTTTCAAAGCTTGTAAAGAAAAAAAAAGTGTGGAACTTGTTACCAGTGTAATTGAACAAGCGAGTGAAGATAGGATTGTAGAGTCACACGGGCACGAATATGAGAGACGGCATGGGAGAATATTTATAGCTAAAACAACGAACGGTAATGAGATGTGTGCAAGCTAGCTGATGCGATGATGACAATGAGCTTCAGGCTAGTTTTGAAGGCGAAGTGCAGGCCGACTCAGCCAAGTCCAGCAGTGCATGGTTCTTCCGAAATATTAACGGGCGAAGAAACAGTTGTTGATATAACCGGGAATCATACTGGACGGGATAAGACTGGCTAAGTTGTAGGAAGACAATGAAGTCTTGTAGTGACCTTGTTAATGATAATTGAAAGAGAACAAGATGATTAAAAGATAGAATTACAAGGGTATAAATAGCAAACTAGCTAGCCATGTACTCTGAGGGGTACATTCCCTTATTAACTGTATTACATAGCTACAGTACCTGCGACTATTGCCATTCTTGACAGTTACCATGTTGCATCGCGTAACTTCTGATGCAATGGCCGGACGGTCAACAGTCGCGACCGTTGACTATTAGTGACTGTTGACCTTCAGGTGACCCTCGAGTTGTCGCGTGCTCTTATACGAGCATATCGCGATACCGTTACAATAGCGGTGCTTCGCTATGCAGTGGTGCGCTAGAAGAGGACATTTGGGAATGCTATAATAACCTTTCGAATATTCCAACACTCCCCTTCATTCCTGAAGGTGAGCCACGTGGGATTTCTTCAAGATCCCGCAGAGGTTGGCGCAGTGCTGAAACTTCTGACGTGGAAGCTGCTTGGTCAATAAATCTGCTGCCATGTCACCGGTTGGGCAGTACGTGAGTTTGACCTTGTCCTTGTCGATTTCGTCCTTGACGAAGAAGTAACGGAGTGCGATGTGCTTCGTGCGGTTCACGAAGCCGGGCTTGTTCGCGATCTTTATCGCGCTCTGATTGTCGGAGAGAACGTAGTGCCCGTTCATCGTCACTTTCGCTTCCTGCAGGAGCTCCATCAAGTACAGCCATTCGCGAACAGCTGCGCTGGCGGCGATGAACTCAGCTTCGGCTGACGAAAGAAGAATGAGCTCCTGCTTCTGGGAGTTCTAGGAGATGAGTCTAGCAGGTTGGAGTTGAAAAATTAAACCTGTGCAAGAGCGTCTGTTGTCAACATCTCTCGCATGGTCCGCGTCTACGTAGCCGTGAAGCTGCAGGGTAGCAGTTAAGTTAGCTTCGTACGTGAGCCCGACGTCAAGGGTAGAGATGAAGTATTGGAGTGCTCGGCATAGGTCTAGTAGATTCTCCACTTCAGGTCGGCGCAGGTACTGTGCGAGCTGGCTTGCGACGTAGGAGAGATCCGGCTTGCTTGTGACTGCCAACGGGAGTTGTGTATTGGCCCCGTCCTCGCTTGGGCGGAGCCGATTTCGCTGCTGGGTGTGCGGGGAGCGCAGCCGTCCAGCTGTAGTGGGCGGCGCCAACTTAGGTACTAGGCCACTGCAACGCCGTCGACGACGGGGAGCCGACGGCCGACTTGAACCGGTGGCCGACGTGGGGAGGGGCGCCGACTTTGGGAGGCGCCAATGTCGACCTGGGAGGGGGCGCCAAGCTGCAGGGCGCCGAGCTGGGGGGCGCTGGAGGGCGCCGACTTTGGGTGGTCGACCTGGCGAGGCCGACCTGGGAGACGCCTATCAAACTGTACTGATGTTTGTGCTGTATAGGCTGTAGTGGGGTAGCCTATAAGGGGTACAACCCAATTAGGGTTAGCTTTTGTACCCACTTCTCTTCTCAATGCATTCATTCTCGCTTAGTCTTTTAACATGGTTTCAGAGCAGGTCCTGTTCCAGGACCGTTTTTTTAGGGGCCACCGTACAGTTCCCTGCCCGTAGTGCGTTACCCTACTCGTAGCGCCCTACCCTGCCCGTCGCGCTGCCCCACCAGTCGCGCTGCCCTGCCCGCGTGCCGCCCCGCTGGCTGCCGCGCTGCCTTGCCCTGCCCTGCGTTGCGCTGCCTCGCGCACGCTCTGCCCTGCCCTGCGTTGCGCCGCCCCGCGCACGCCCTGCCCTGCGTCGCGCTGCCCGCGCACGCCCTGCCCTGCGTCCCTGCTGCCCGTCGCGTGGCCCAGCCCGTCGCGTCCCCCGTCCGCCCTGCCCTGCCCGTCGCGTCGCCCGTGCGGGCTGCCCCAGCCCGTCGCGTGGCCCGTACGGGCTGCCCCAGCCCGTCGCGTCACCCGTACGCCCTGCCCTGGCCGTCATGTCGCCCGTGTGGGCTGCCCCAGCCCGCCGCGTCGCCCGTACGCCCTGCCCTGCCCGTCGCGTCGCCCGTACGGGCTGCCCCAGCCCGTCGCGTCGCCCGTCCGCCCTGCCCTGCTCGTCGCGTCGCCCGTGTAGGCTGCCCGCGTCGCCCTTTCCAGCCTGCGCACTGCCTCTTGCCTGCTCGCGCGTCCTCCCCATCGTCGCCCGCCTCCATGCTTGGCTCGCTATGACTCCTCTTCATGGTAGCGGTGGGAGTGGTGGCGACGGTGGTGGCAGCAGTGGGAGTGGTGGCGGCGGCGGTCGTGGTAGTCGCGGTGGAGCTGTGCAGTGGGGAGTTCTCGACGAACCTAGTGAGTACCGCGGCTCTTCAGGATGAGTGGGTTGATACCTTTACCCCTGGAGGCCAGCGTGTGGCGATCTGCACGTGCTCCCGGACGGGCCGTCACCTGGCCACGTTCACCCGTCGGCCTGGGTCGAGTCTGTACACACTGACTACTGCGCCTCCTCAGGTTGCTGCGTCGGTAGCCGCGTCAGGTCAGGTAGCTTCCCCCTGCGAGTGTCGTCACCTGTCGCACCAGACTCTCCTTTGGCACCACCGCCTTGGTCACCCCTTCCTGCCGCGCCTTCGTGGCATGCACTCCCGCCTCCTGGTCACCAGTCTTCCCAGGTCTCTTCCTTCCCTCCCACCCTCGCCTGCCCCGCCCTGCGTTCCTTGCGTCGAGGGGCGGCAGCGCGCCGCTCCTCACTCCTCCTCGTTTCCCCCGATGACTGCTCCCCTGCAGACTCTCCACATGGACATGTGGGGCCCAGCCCGCGTCCAGGGACAGGGCCACGAGCGGTACTTTCTGCTGGTTGTCGACGACTACTCGCGTTACACCACGGTCTTCCCTTTGCGCAGCAAGGGTGAGGTCCCTTGGATCCGTGCTGTACATCTCCAGCTCCGCGAGCGGTTCCACACGGACCTTCCCGTCCTGCGTCTGCACTCTGACAGAGGTGGTGAGTTCTCCTCCGACCTCTTGCGGGACTTTTGTCAGAGAGAGGGCATCCTCCAATCGTTCACGCTTCCGGCCTCTCCACAGCAGAATGGGGTTGCTGAGCGCCGCATTGGCTTAGTCATGGAGGTCGCTCGTACCTCCATGATCCATGCGGCTGCTCCCAATTTTCTGTGGCCGTTTGCGGTCCGGTATGCTGCGCATCAGCTCAACCTCTGGCCCCGTGTCTCCTTGCCGGAGACCTCGCCCACACTGCGTTGGACGAGGGAGGTTGGCGATGCGTCGCGCTTCCGGGTCTAGGCTCTCGTGCCTTTGTCCGCGATACCACCGCGGACAAGCTCTCCTCTCGCGCCATTCCCTGCGTCTTCCTTGGCTTTCCCCCTGACGCGCCTGGCTAGCAGTTTTACCACCCCACCTCGCGCCGTGTCTTCCCCTCTCAGGACGTCACGTTTGACGAGTCGGTTCCCTTTTACCGTCTCTTCCCCTACCGCACTGCCCCTCTCCCCCCCCCGCCGCTCTTCCTCGCTCCAGGTCCCCCTCCGGTAGTCCCTCTCCCCCCTCAGGGTCCTACTCCTTCAGGTGTCTCTCAGGTCGACCCACTTCCCTTAGCTGAGCCTGTCGAGGTCACTGGTGACTCAGGTGCTGCTGGCATTGGTCCTGCTCGGGGTACTGCGTCTGGGGGTGCTGAGCCTGTGCGTGCGGAGCCTGGGGGTGCTGAGTCTGGAGGTGCTGAGCCCGAGGGTTGCTGAGTCTACGGGTGCTGAGATTGGGGGTGTTGCGCATGCGCGTACTGATCCTGGGGTTGCTGAGCCTACGGGTGCTGAGACTGGGGGTGCTGCGCCTGAGCGTACTGAGTCTGGGGGTGCTGAGCCTGGTGGTGCTGCTTCTACTGGTGGTCTTCCGGGAGCCTCGTCGCAGCGGTCTCTCCAGCGTGAGCCCCTCTTGCCGCAACAGCTGCACGAGTGGCTCATCTGGCGCGCCCGCCTTCGGAGTCGCGCTGGAGCTCGAGACCCTGGAGCTGGGGGCACCGGAGCTGGAGCTGGAGGTGCTGACCCTGGAGGTGCAGGAGCTGGAGGTGGTGGCACTGGAGGCACCGGAGCTGGAGGCGCTGGCACTGGAGGTACTGACGCTAGGGACGCTGGGGCTGGAAGCCCTGTGCAGCAGCGTGAGCCCCTCTCGCCACAGCAGCTGCGCGAGTGGCTTGCCCGGCGCTCCCGCCTTCGATGTCGCGCTGGAGCTGGAGCTAGAGGCGCTAGAGCTGGAGGTACCTGAGCTGGAGGTGCTGGGGCTGGAGGTCCTGGCGCTGGAGGCGCTGGAGCTGGAGACACTGGAGCTGGAGGCACTGGAGCTGGAGGCGCTAGAGCTGGAGATCCTGGAGCTGGAACTACTGGAGCTGGAGGCTCTGGAGCTGGAGGCGCTGGCG